GGCGGCGGCAACAACAATACTACATCGAGAATAAAAGTTACGCTTTCTTTCTTTGCGTGAACATTTGGGCGGTGTTATGCAAATCTTCCCACATCGTGACGTAGACATGTGGGGGCGTGTTAGAACGAGCCGTTTTAGGTAGGCGTGGTTGACTCTTAACTTTTATAAAGAATATCTCTTTGGATTTGAGACTTTAGTCTTTGCAACTTTACAGATCTTCTTTATGCACCAAGAGCTTGTAACACTCCAAAGAGAAAGGAAAAATTTAAATCGCATCATATGACCCCTTTAAACCAAACGCATGACGCTTATTTATTTATTTTCCCCTGCCAATCTTCATACTCGGCAAACTGGAGTAACCCCACTGCTGTAACTTTTGACACGCTCAGCACTCCTTTGCTGCAGAGACCGATGCTTGACGTTAATGGATCCACATCAAGTTTCCTAGTAAGAGAAAATGTGTGTAAAAATGTCATGATAAATATTCCTCTATTACAACAGAGTGTCCAACAAGTACTGACTCATTCCTTACGCCGTCGCCATGTGATGTCGATGATGAAGTGAAACTCGCGGGTTTTGTCGCAACATACGCGCAAGGGGAGAAAGGGAAAGAAACACGCTTTCACGGGTGAGGTATTTATTTGGATGCATGTAATTCTATAAAGTCGATAATTACAGACTAATAATGAAAGTTTGACTAGCTGGTTCGACAGGGACATAGCTGGGCTTGGTTTTATTTATGATCGTCTGATTGTGACATGCTCTTTTCTTTGAGAGGTAGGCTATTTTTGTATGTTTTCACAACTTGGATTTTGTAAATATAATAGATTTGTCAGTATAATCTGTGGAAGTGACACATTTAATATTGTATTCAGATTCGATAGCTTGTCGTCACTTTGTTTAGTTTCAGATATCTAAAATGATCTCAGTACTTAGAAATATAAATACAAATTTGAACTAGTTGGATGAAAGTAACAGAAGTTTTAGTAGATGTTTTACCATTTCCAGGTTTTTGGAGAGCTTCTGGAACTGAGAGCCACTGAAGCAAAGATGACAGTATCCAGTTTGTGTTCATCCAAGGCTGAAGCATTCCACTTGCAGATCAACTACCATTAAAGTGAATGGGAATGCTTATGGATAGCTCTGTGCAGGTAGGCTATAATAGACTGCTGAGGGTTAATTTAATTGATTTAACACTATGAAAAGGAAAAGATATAAAATTAATCCTTAGTCTTTGTGTTAAAAAAAATGTTAAAGGCAGAGTGAGGGATTTCTGGTAGCCAATGTTTATATTTGACAAACTGTTGCTTCCAGTTAAAATACATGTCCTCTATCCATAAAATTGCTTTCTCCAGTGAAAACGTTGTCTCGTCTGAATCAGTTCAAAACACTTCTAAAGTAATATATTGGTAGAGAGGAAAACAGGGGATGGACTTTTAAAGTTAAAACGTCTTAATGATGGATTTGTTTATTACAAACACGGAGCTATTCACTTCACAAGACGTTAATTGATGGACTGAAGTTGTGTGGATTACTTGTGAATTATTGTGATGTTTTTTATTGACTTTTTTTTTTACTCTTTGGACATTCTGACGGCACCAACTGACTGCAAAGGATCCAATGGTGAGCAAGTGATATAATTCTAAGTTTCACCAAATCAGTTCAGATGAAGAAACAAACTCATCTATATCTTAGATGGTCTAAAGGTGAGTAAATTTTCATTTTTTGGGTGAACTATTTCTTTAAGATTTTCTTGTTGAGAATTTCTTTCTTTTAATTAGATTTTTTTTCTTTATGATATTAACATTCAGGACAGTTATGCCCCATTTTAATGTGTGTATGTATTTGCAGACATAATACCAGCCACTTCTGAAGAGCAGCAGGGCCTCTAAAATGAGTTTCTATGAGAAGAGAAAGGGAGCTATTTCTGCTCAGACCAAAAGGGCGGGAAATCCAGAACCCAGCTGTGTGTCAATGAAGAGTGACGTGTCTATGGGCATGCCACCTGAATTCAGTGGTGGAGCAGTGAACCCTGACCCCAAGTGAGACACAAGATTTAATCTTAAATGGATAGTTCACCCAAAATGAAAATTTGCTGTTAATTTACTCACCCTCAGGCCATCCAAGATGTAGGTGACTTTTTTCTTCAGTAGAACAGTAAAGTAGTTTTTCAGCTGAAACTGTGTGAGAACCTTGATGATTCATTAAATGCAAATCAGCGGCTGCACATTTTTGAAAAAGCATATAAGGAACACAAAATGAATACTCATGGCTCCTGACGATATATTGAGGTCTTATGAAGCGAAACGATCAGTCTGTGCAGGAAACTGAACATTACACTATTATTACCTGTAATAATAGCCATTCTTTTCCGCGAACTGGTTCTTTGAGACAGTTAGTTTTAATTAACTGGTTTAATTCACAAGTTCATTTACTTAATCACACAATGATGTAACTTATACACATTATATTATTAAAGTGCCCAATGATGATGTAAAACGTGGATGTTTTGCATGTCTAAAGCATATAAAGTGAATAAGCTTGTTTTGACGCTCACCTTTTTATATAAACTATGAGAAACCATAAAACTTTAATTTCGCCCCTTCATTCAAGTGCTTGGTTCACATATACACATATCACCGGCTCATCAGGTCTGTGTCGGAACTCTTTCTTCAGTTCAGTGATATGTTGGAGTGGTAAGTGAGTTGGCAAAAACCAGCATCATAGGAGCATATATGACCGTTTTTTTTTTTTGGCTCATTTCGAGTTGTCCTGTGCTTCTCGAGCGATGAACTGTTTCAGACAGTTCAGTCCGATTTGGTGAACTGGTTCAAATAATTCACCAAAAAGAACTCATTCAAAAGAATGATTTGTTCGCGAATCAGACATCACATAGGGCTGTTTGTCTGATGCTATGGATTAGAGGTAATAATGTTTTAAATAATGTTCCATTTCTTGCACAGACTGATCATTTTGCATGATAAGACCTTAATATATCATCAGGAGCCATCTGTATTAATTTTGTGTTCTTTGATATGCTTTTTTTTATTCTCAAAAATGGGCAGCTTCGGACTTGCATTGTATGAATCACCAAAAGACCACGGTTTCAGCAAAAATCTTCTTTACTGTTCTACTGAAGAAAAAAGTCACCTTATTCTTGGATGGCCTGAGCGTGACTAAATTAACAGCAAATTTTCATTTTTGGGTGAACTATCCCTTTAATAGCCTATACAGGACAGAAGGATAAATGTAGGCGTTTCGGTTTCTTACAAATTTTCACATTATGATCTGTTTGTAAGCAGATTCACAAAGCAACATCAGCATGTGGTTGAGTCTTAATGAAAAGTAACAGTGTAATGAAAAACTTGGTACAACATTGGTTAGCGAATATGATTAGCGAATTAGCTTGAAAATTTCAAAATGTGCCTATAGTGCTGATGATGTCATATAACACATCTGAGATCTCTCTGCAGGTGTTTGTTGCAGGTTTTTTCCAAATGTGGAGTGTGTGAGCAGGTTCTGAAAGATCCAGTCTCAATTACCTGTAAACATAGTTTCTGCAGACAGTGTATCAGCTGCTACTGGGATAAGTTCAGTCAATCAGAAGACTTTGACTGCCCTCAATGCAAGAAGAGGTCTATAATACGTCCTGTTCTACAAACATATAAAGTCTCGGGAGGATCCAGTTCTGCTCTCTGTTACGCAAACCTGCAGCAGGATTCTCTGGTGGACGATGTCCTGCAGAGAGTCAAAGAGAAACACAAAACCAGCATGAGGAACAAGTATGAGTGCTTATTTGAGGGAATCAAACTACAGGAGAATCAAACACTCCTGAACAGGATCTACACACAGCTTTGTATCATAGAGGGAGAAAGTGAAGGGGTGAATGAGGAACATGAAGTGTTACGGATGGAGAAAACAGCCAGAACACAACATTCACAAAACACTCAAATCCACTGTAATGACATCTTTAAATCCTTACCCGAACAAGGATGTGAGGGGAAGAGAAGAAAGATGGATGACAAAATAAAGATTGTTCTTACTAAAGGAGTCGCTGGAATTGGAAAAACAGTCTCTGTGCAGAAGTTCATTCTGGACTGGGCTGAGGGAAAAGCCAATCAGGATGTAGATTTCATGTTTGTGCTTCCATTTCGAGAGCTGAACTTGATTAAAGATGATCAGTACAGCATTCACAAAATTCTGCTTGACTTTCTTCCTGAACTTCAAGATCTGGACTCAAAGATTTATGATGAATGTAAAGTTGTGTTCATCTTCGATGGTCTGGATGAAAGCCGAATTACACTGAGGTTTTCAGACAGTGAGATGGTTTCTGATATAAATAAGTCTTCATCAGTTGGTGTATTGATGTCAAACATCATCAGAGGAGAGCTGCTTCCCTCTGCTCACATCTGGATCACCTCCAGACCAGCAGCAGCCAATCAAATCCCTTCAAAATACATCAACCGGGTGACTGAAATTCAGGGATTCAATGACCCTCAGAAGGAGAAATATTTCAGGAAGAGGATCAGTGATCAGCATCAAGCCAGCAGAATCATCTCACACATCATAAGATCAAGAAGCCTCCACATCATGTGCCACATACCGGTCTTCTGCTGGATCTCATCCACTGTGCTTCAGAACATCCTGAAACAAGATGACAGTGCAGAAATCCCTCAAACTCTGACTGAAATGTACATCCACTTTCTGCTCATTCAGATAAACCTAAGGAATCAGAAGTATGATGAGAGAGATCCTGGAAAACACTGGCAGTCCAACAGAGATGTGATTTTGAAACTTGCTGAACTGGCTTTCAAACAGCTCAAGAAAGGCAATATCATGTTCTATGAGGAGGATCTGAAAGAGTGCGACATAGATGTCATCGACGCCTCAGTGTATTCTGGGATTTGCACCGAGATATTTAAGGAGGAATCTGTGATTCATCAGAGGAAAGTCTACTGCTTCATACATCTGAGCTTTCAGGAGTTTCTTGCTGCTATTTATGTGTTCTATTGTTATGTAATTAACACTGTGGAGGAACTAAGGTTTTTTGATTCCCTGCATAATTTGCTCAGAGGAGCAGTAGATAAAGCCTTAGAAAGCGAAAATGGACACCTGGATCTTTTTCTCCGGTTCCTGCTGGGTATCTCACTGGACTCCAATCAGAAACTCTTACAGGATCTACTGACCAACACTCACAGCTGCTCAAGGAGCATTGAGAAAACAACTGCTTATATTAAAGACAAAATTAAACTTGGACATAACCTTTCAGCTGACAGATCCATCAATCTTTTTCTTTGTCTCTTTGAAATGAAAGATCAGACTCTGCACAGAGAGATCCAGGAGTTTCTGAAATCAGACAAACACTCAGAGAAGAAACTCTCTTCTGCACTTTGCTCAACAATCGCCTACATGTATCAGATGTCAGAAGATGTGCTGGAGGAACTTGATCCCAAGAAATTTAATACATCAGAAGAAGGTCGCAGAAAACTCTTACCAGCTGTGAAAAACTGCAGAAAAGCTCTGTGAGTGTTAAATTCTTCTTTTACTTGAGATAATGAATGCTGTGTCTTCTGATTGATGTTTATTGAAAATTTTCATAACTTGATATTTTTACAACTTTGCAGATTTTTTATTTTTCTGGCAAAACAAGACTAGAGCCGGCAACTCACCAGTTAATTTTCAGATTAATGCTTAATATAGTTCTTGGAAAATCAGAGGGAGTTGGCCATGACACAAGGGAGTTTTATTTGAAGATAAACAGTCAATACATATGCCAACCTTGACCATTATCAAGTTGTTTTGAGTGGGCTAGTGAGATACAGGCTTAAGGAAAAGATTATTCGACTTATATTTGAACTACCTTATGCAGTTGTTTGTAGATCTAATTTGAATTGTGTTTTGCTCTCTTATAGTCTTGCTGATTGTAATCTCACTGATAAATCTTGTGAAATTGTGGCCTCAGCTCTACAATCATCAAACTCCGTCCTGAGAGAGCTGGACCTGAGTAACAATGACTTGCAGGATTCAGGAGTGAAGCTTCTCTCTGATGGACTGAAGAGTCCAAACTGTCAACTAGAGAAACTGAGGTCTCTAAAAATTTGTAACAGTTCACAGATTATTAAAAAAAATTAAATCAAGTGTAAAAAATTACACCCAAGTGGCCCAAAGAAGGGGTGGGTGGTATGACCAAAATTCTGTTTCATGGTATGAATAATTTTATTGCACGGTAACAATATATTTCATGATATATTTATTTATATATGTAGTTATTCTGAAAATCAACAAAAAGTGCTTTATATAATAAATAAACTCAAATACTTTAGAAATGAAAAGTACTTCACCTCGTTTGATTTTTCTTTTTCTTTTATTGGGTAAATTATTTATTTAGTAAAAACACACTCAACTTTTAGATTAACTGCTCCCAACTGATTGATATTAAATGCAACTTGTAAGCGCAATTAAACTTTAAATAAGGGGTTTCTGGATTATTTTTAAATCTCATGATACTGTTTTACTTCAATCAGTTTATAATATCTAAATATTTTATATTAAAATATTCTATTCATAATAAATTACATTTACATTCTTTTAATTTTGTAGGATACTATTAATATTAGTTTTATTGTTTAAACTGCACGTTTTAACCATGCCCACTTATTTACATGTGGCGGTATACACAGAATAAAAAGATCTTTTACGGTTGACATTTTATACCGCAGTAATGATATACTGTATACCGTCATACCGCCCTGCCCTAAAAGACACAATTCACTTTTAATAGCATCTTGTCTAATACTGTGTGTAAATTATCACACTTTAGTGTCCTAAACTGTACTAAAAACAATGTGTGTGTGTAAATTATCTGACTGTTGATATGCATGTTTGTAGATTATCTGGCTGTATGGTGACAGAGAAAGGCTGTTGTTTTCTGGCCTCGACTCTGAGTTCCAACCCCTCATACCTGAGAGAGCTGGATCTCAGCTACAATCACCCTGGACATTCAGGAGTCAAGATGCTCTCTGATCGACTGAACCATCCAAACTGCAAACTCAAGTATGTGGACCTAAAATTGTGTTGTTTACATGTGTATACGCTATAATGTATAGTATAAAAGCATTCTATTTGATTATTATTTCATTGTGTTTTACCTTGAGCAAGCATATGCAATGAATCCAGCAGCCTAATGACTACACAAACATTTTACATACAAAGTTTTTGTGCCAAGAGTTATTTTCCCCAAAAAATGTTGATGTCTGGTTGCTTAGTCCAAACACTGTGTTGCCAGATATTACATTACTTTCCACAGAGTTGAAATTATATAGATAATGATTATGCTTATATAGAGATGTCTTATGCTGTCAAGAATTCCTCACAAGTGAATTTCGCTAAAAGATCTGGCTGGACAATTCGTTGGAAGAAACTACCTGAACAATAACAGCATAATACTACGGTTATAATAATACGGTTCATAATACTAACATTGTGCACAGGCAACAAAAAAATTACACAAACACATTTTAATGCCTGATTCAATGCTCTTCACTTAATCAGTATAACATAAATTTGTAAATCTTATGGATTTCAGGACTTTAATTCACCTCCCATTATGTATCTGTTATTCTAAGACCATTTTTACATGCCTTTTTCTGTACTACTTAGTTTTGACCATGGAGAGTCTTTCAGAATCACACCAGGACTGCGGAAATGTAGGTTCTCTCCCTGACAAGCAAACTGCATGCACATTTTTTTTTCTTCAATTCATTATTGTGCTTTTATAACACAAATTCTACAGCAGCCATAGAAGAATAATGCCTTACAATCACAAGCTAAATCCAAACATGACAATATCAAGGACAATGTCTAATGATCATTAGTGACATCATTTATGTTTAATCTCCCTTCAGATGCCTGTGTTCTCTCATTTGATCAAAATACAGTAAACACGCATCTCATTCTATCTGAGAACAACAAAAAGGCAACATATTTGGAAGAGGAGCAGCCATATCCTGATCATCCAGAAAGATTTGAGCACTACGAGCAGGTTCTGTGTAGAGAGAGCCTGACTGGACGCTGTTACTGGGAGGCTGAATGGAGTGGCTGGAGTCATATAGCAGTCACATATCGAGGTATCAACAGGAAAGGAGGGAGCGACTGCAGGTTTGGACTCAACGAAAAGTCCTGGAGTCTGGTCTGCTCTGGTAAAAATTACTATGCCAGGCATAATAATGCAAGAACTGACATACCTGCACCCTCATTATGTTCTAACATAATAGGAGTGTATCTAGATCAGCCAACTGGCTCTTTGTCTTTTTACAGTGTTTCCTCTGAAACTGGTCAAATGGTCCACATTTACACCTTCCACTCCACATTTACTGAGCCCCTCTGTGCAGGGTTTGGTGTTGGGGTTGACAGTGGAACTTCAGTGTGTTTATGTTAAATACAGAAGCTGTGAAGCAGGTGTGTCAGACCAGGGGCGTAGATTACGCGGGGGACGCGGGGGACGTGTCCCCCCCCCCACTTTTAATATCACGTAAATTCGTCCCCCGCACTTTTTCGGGCAAGTGTGGCAAGTGTTGATTTGCTGCTCAAAAAACATTAATAATAATAATAATTAAAAAAGGTTTCTTGAGCATCAAATCAGCATATTAGAATGATTTCTGAAGGATGTGACACTGAAGACTGGAGTAATGATGCTGAAAATTCAGCTGTGTCAGTGATGTCAATGATGGCCCTGTGTCAGACACTCAGACCATGGGCCAAATACAGCTTGTGAAGGAAATAAAATGAGAGTTTAGCTCTAACTCTAATTAAACACCTAAATCAGCTAATCAAGGTCTTCAGGATTACTTGAAAAGTAAAGGTACCGTAGGTTCTAGAGCAAGTTTGAGCTGAACTCTGCAGGCAGTGGTGGACAGTAACGGAGTAGCTTTACTTTGTTACTACTTAAGTACATTTTTCAAGTATCTGTACTTTACTGGAGTAGTTTTATTTTGAGTAACTTTTACTTTTACTTCACTACATTCCAAAGCATAAGATCGTACTTTTTACTTCACTACATTTCATAAAACATATCGTTACTCCTTATAATATATCACGGCCAAAATTGACTGCGACAAACCCTCTGAGAAAGTCCATCCAAGATTGCCGACAAAGTGAGACAAATGTGGCCTATAAGTAAATAAACTTTTTCATTCAGTACTGAAAAGTATCAGCAAAACAGGTGAACCTCATTACAGTGGGCTTTTTATTTAAAATTTGGTGTACCGTGTTCAGTGGTGGACAGTAACGGAGTAGCTTTACTTTGTTACTACTTAAGTACATTTTTCAAGTATCTGTACTTTACTGGAGTCGTTTTATTTTGAGTAACTTTTACTTTTACTTCACTACATTCCAAAGCATAAGATCGTACTTTTTACTTCACTACATTTCATAAAACATATCGTTACTCCTTATAATATATCACCTGCTCCGACCTGTTTTTATACAGTCTATACGCAGAAGCGGTGTCTGATTCATGAACGAACTGATTCTTTTCAATGAACCTTTTAAATCGGTTCGCAAATCGCACCAAACGATTCATTCACGAATTAGAATGATCCGATTGCAGCTGTTCTAGAGTCGACAACTCACAGTGTCTCTATGTTTTAGGTAAAAAAAACTCAGGAACATTAAAATAACACAGACTAAATAAAATTATTCCCCGCTGCCGTAACGTTAACGGTTTTATTAAAATGCTACGCATTTAGCCCTATGTGACGTCTGTTTTTATATTGTTTATCAACAGTATACATTTTTATATTGTTTGGATTAACTAGCGGAGTAGACAGATATGAATGTTTATTCATAACCATACTGAAAATAAGTAAATATTGTTAGCTGATGCTAACTGTCTAGCTAACAAGTTTGCGGGTGTTAAGTTGAGGTAATGTTTAGAAAGTCCAAATATTTTTTTTCAACCACCTAGATAGATTACATCTGGGGGGAAAGAAAGGATGTGATGTTCAGAACATGGTAATTACAGTAAATATCAAAGTGGGAAGTGATGCCCTCTGGGGGCATTTGGCCAGGGGTGTTTTTTACGGTGGCCGTGAGGTGCAAAGCAAATCACAATTCTGAAAACAAAATAACAAATTACAAACGCAAATGCAAGTCTAAAAAACAAAATAACAATTCAGAAAACATTATAACAAGTCAGAAAACACAGTGACAAATTCGAAAACAAAATAAGTCAGAAAACAACGACAAATCCGAAAACAAATTAACAATTCAGAAAACACAACGACAAATCAGACAAACCGGAAGAGGTAGGTATAGTTTGAGACAGCGCCATTAGTTTGGGATTACTCAGCGCTGACTGGACGAGACATCTGTCAATCAACGTATACAGG